TTAGGGGAAAAATCTGTTTACTGTGTTTTGCAGGTTCTAGAGGCTATCTGCCTTCCTTTGGCTCATGACCCCCTCCATCTTCAAAGCCAGCAATGGCTAAATTCTCAGGTGTCACTCTGATGCTCCTTGACCCTCCTTTCGGGTTTTCACTTTGCCTTTGCTGACTATGCCCCTCTTACAACGAAGCTTATGATTACGTTGGGCCCCCCAGGATAATCTGGGATAGTATCTCCATTTCAAAATCCTTGATCACGTCTGCAATGGTTCTTTTGCCATGTAAAGCCCAGTATAACATTCACAAATTCCAGGATTCTAACATCAACATCTTTGGGGAGGTCACGATTTAGTCTACACTAGTGTGTAAACTCTGAGACCAATGAGCCCATTTCCATGTGTTTTTCTGCAAAATAGCTTGCCCTGTAATGGCTTTTCAAAGAGATCTGTGACTTGATATAGTTTAATCACTCCCACAGTTTTGTCACCCTCCCCGTCTCATGTAAGGGAACATTAAAGTCCCAGAGAGATTGACTTATCCAAAACCATATGAATGAGAGATGTTTCCCGGACTCCGTTTTTGACCCTTCATAACTATAGCCTGCCAAAAACAAGTCGGCAGATGATAGCAGTGTCCTGCCCATTCCCTGCATGGAAAGAATGCCTGAGCCTCCTGGGAAGCCCGCAGTTAGTCTGCGGCTAACAGAATTGGTGCCACTGGCTGTAGCGTAGCTCAGATCCAAAGTGATGCCCCAGTGAGAGTGCACATCTCACTTTGTTAAGAAGCACAGTGCCTTGAAGCTGAGCCCGTCTACCTTCAGGTTCAGTGGAAATGGAAAGAGAGGGACAGAGATGTGTTAGAGCACCTTATTGTCAGAGCTCAGGGTGTTTTAGTTATTCACTTCCAGACATAGCAGGAGAATTCTCCTGACAACTGCAAGACCTTGGAAGGTTGATCAGCTGTCTGCTGTTTCTGTATTCCAGCATAGTACTATGGAGTACAGGATCAGAAGTCTGACTGCTAGAGCCAGATTCGGTCTCTATCACTACGAGTCTGTGTCCTTTGGCAAATTGCTGGACTTCTCAGTATCTCAGTTGCTTCATTAGTAAAATGGGGGGACTTACTTTATTGGGGTAAGATAGGCTTTAGGGATTCCAATTATGAATGTTTCCATAGTCACCAGTTATGTCAGTGAGACAGTATTTCCTGTGTGTAGAATTTCACATACACAAAATTGCTTCACATTCTCTGTTATTCATGCCATTTCAGCAAGTCATATCAGAATATATTATTCTGTTTACCAGTTTGTTGCAAAGAGTAAATGGGATAAATTTGTTTAAAGTAGCTGGCATATAGTAAATACTACATACTATTTTTACTACTATTAACCACTACTACAGATGGGTGCAGATACTTGTCTTGGCCACTGGGGAAAGCAGAGGAAACAACACTTAGAATCCATTTCTGTCTAAAGTTCTGGTGTACTGAGATTAAAGAAGTTTAATTGTACCTGGTGGTTAGTGCAGAAAAATAATTCAGTTCGGGAATGATATAGTTTGCCTCTCTGGAAACACCGTTCATTGATCTTTGGTCCACCAGTCCCATTTATAGATGTGTGCCCCACAGCTAAAGGATAACGTTGTGTAGCTATGTAGCTGAGGACAGCCTGCTGATATCTGTTCTTTAGTGACCAGGGCTAAATTTTGGTAGATTTATTTAGAAGCTAACATTATATTGCTACACTTCATATTTTGAGGTAGCAAATAACTACCTAGTCTTGCATTTGAAAGGCCTTTTGTCGACTTTGATATTTTAAAGTTTTAAGGTTAATGTGATTTTCCTTTGCACTAAACAAAATGCAGAAAGCACTTTGGAAATTCACTTTGTTATTTCTTATTACAATCGTGCATTTGAATTTTTTTAATGGAATTTGAGATTGAGAACAGAGAAAGGAGACAAAGAAGATAAATGTAAGTATGATTCTGCAATTTGGCTTTGGAAAACATAAAGCTGGATAAAACACATCTAAGCATTTATATTGTATTTGTCTTCCAGAAAGGAGGCAGCTTAGATTGTGGTGGTGGGATGGGGAGCTGACAAAGTCAAAGTTAAGAAATGAGCAAGTCTGTACATATTCCAACCCACAGCATTTGATGTAGTAGCCAAAAGCATTTGGTAACAAAATATAAGGTAGTATTAGCATATAATTGATTTTAATTATATGTCTTAAAATTACATATATCCACTAGACATTAAGAGGAGGAAGTACAATGTTCTTAATGGAAAAGTCTTGTCAAACTGGCTGTGGAACAAAAGAATATTCTGGACAAACACACATAATCACACACACAAACGTACATACACATACACACACACACACGAATGAGAATTTTATTAATTGGAAATAGGTAGTATACAATGAAATATCAGGGATGTGAGCCACCCTCCAAATGCTCACATAGTGGCTGTAAAGCCTGTGAAGCCATGTAGAAAAGCCAAAGATTACTTTAATCCTTTGCTAAAAAGCTCTAGTGGAAGATCATGATTACATGATTTAGAATATAAACTGTGTATGTCATACTCTGAAGGAGTTTGGTGTAAAATGGGCTTCTAGAATCTAGTAAAAAGAAAATTTCCTGGTGTTACTGTATATAAACAACTATTATTGTCTTTCTAATGATGTAATGCTTTAACTTTATATACTCTTTGATCCTTCTGTTAACTAAAAATCTTATTGGAGAATATGTACTATGGTATAATCCCCAAAAACTAATAAAATAACTCTGAGCATGGTGTAAAGTGTTGATTTAACTATTCTGTCCCAATACAGAGGAGTTTCAAAAACTCCCAGACAAACAGAGTGATAGAATTTTAGTGCTGGAGGAGACTGTGGAGAAAAAAGTGGACATGACCTTCCATATTTACACAGCTCATTTACATCAGAGCCAAATTGAGGACCCTAGTCACCTTCCACAACTTTTGTTTTTTTTTAAGGATCTGTCTTGTAATATCAAGTCAGCCAGTCTTGTGTATGGATTTATGTGATAAAGTTGGAATAGCTTTCCTTGGCCACTTAAAAAAGTTCAGTACATTAACATTCTTTTGAAAGTGGAACACCAGCAAATGTCTTTAGAAGAAGAATTGAACTCAGGGATCTCTTCCTTCTAATGGAGACAACCTGGGCCTACTGCTATTCCAGAAGGTTGCATACATATGGACCTGTATATATTTGAACATGAATGTCAAAATCTTATCAGATTTAAAAGGAACCTCAAAATACACTTGCTTCAGTTCCTTGCCCTACTATGTATGTCCTATGACATACAACAGGTAAGGTATCATTATCTCCATTTTATAGATGAAACAGTTGAGTCCCAGGGAGAACAACTGACCTGCCCACTAAGTAATCACGAGGGAGAGATAGGTCTCCTGCTATAGCAAAGTACTACACTATGCATCTCTTTCAAATTTGTCTTAAATGAACTTCTTCAAACTCATTTTCTATTTGTTTCCATTAAGTTTGTGGAACCCATAATTTCACACAGAATAGACTCTCTTCCACAATTGTATAAAAGTAGATTCCTAAGTAATTGACTGCATTTTAGTTACTCAAGTCTTCTTGCAAGTGATTCTTGAAGGTCAGCTTGACAATTGGCATTTGGTCCATTATCCAGTAAGCAGCCATGGTTTTGTTTTAAAAAATAAGCCAAAGCCCTCATTTTGCTGACTTTGGCAATGAACCAGTTGCTTAAGTGAATGTGACAAACATCAGGCACAAGACACTACATATGCCAGGGAGCGCCTGGGTGGCTCAGTAGGTTAAGCCTCTGCCTTTCGCTCAGGTCATGATCTCAGGGTCCTGGATCAAGTCCTGCATCAGGCTCTCCGCTCAGCGGGGAGCAGGTTCCCCCTCTCTCTCTGCCTGCCTCTCTGCCTACTTGTGATCTTTCTCTCTGTGTCAAATAAATAAATAAAATCTTTTTTTAAAAAGACACTACATATGTCAGAAATAATCAGGATAAATTAGAAAACTCAAATGTTAGAAGTATGAAGTCACAGAGAAGAGTCAGGTGGGTCTCCCCTTTCGGAGTTTTAGACAACAGATGTACAAATGTAGGTGGCAGTATCATATCCCTCAACAGATTTTGAGTGCAAGGGTGCAAACTGATCATGAAAAGACACAGATAGTGTCTCTGTAGTAGAATCATACTGCACAGAAGGGAAGCTTTCTAGAATAAACTTTATATGTTGTGGCTATAAAAATGCTCCTAGTGTGGAGGTGCTATAAATAACATTTATGATACTAATGATAATAGAATAATGCATCATCGTCCCCTGGTTATGGCAGAATGACTCAACACCTTCTTGCATGGGTTTCTCCCTTACATGTTACCAGCTTAGAAAGGGTTTTTTATTCTAGTTCCCAAAAGGTCAGATATTTAAGATCAAAAGAAGGGACAGAAACAAGTGAAAAGTTGCTGGATATTAAAGAGGTAGAAATAAAGAAAACTAGAAATTAGAGATGGGGGAATAATGATGGGAGACATGGAGCACAAAGAGAAAGGGAGAAAGTAACGTGTGTTGGCACTTATTTTAGGAAAGGCATTGTGCAGAGCACTTGCTTATATTATCACCTTTAATCCTCACCACAGCTCTATGAAGTAGCTATTATGTGCAGATAACAAAATGGCATTCAAAATATTAGTTTTCCCACAGCTAACCAAGTAACAGAACCAAGATTCCCATTCTGATATGACTTCAAAATCCATATTGTTTTAATTAAACCAATACAGGCATCACCAGACCACCACGGAAATTTCAAAAACAGAGATTGGCACAATGATCAGATAAACTGCTTTCAGAAGAAGCATCTTGAATTGACTTATTTAAACAAATATCAGAAGAGACAGAAAAGATGAAGGGATTACACTGAAACTCCATCATCATGAGAGTAAAGTATCCGTTAAGCAATCTGAATCTGTTAGAGCAACCTGAGGTGCTATAATCAAGGTTTTAATTCAATCCCTTCGGATTTGCTTTCCTCATTATCCTCACCCACCCTGTCTCTAAGGAAGCTATAGTGACCTTGCAAGTCCTCACCCATGCAGAGAAGACTGGGTGCTGAAATATCTCTCCAGTCCTGACACGAAGGAATACGGATGTGTCTGACATCTTCCTTTCCAGGGATGAAGCCAAAGAGTTTCTTTATGCGCTGCATGATGAGGAGCCGTGAATGTTGCTCAGCGGCTTGTTCAAAGAGCTCCCTCTCATTGTGGAGGTGGTTGGTCCAATAGCAGTGCTGCAGAGAGGTGAGGGGAGAGCAGCACCTCGCCAAGCAGCGGGAGACTAGGGCAGCGATGGTTGCCAGGGTGATCAGAATCCAGCCCAGCATCTTGATGTAGTTATTTAAAAGAAAAGCAGAAAACATCAATATAGTAAGTATCAAAGGAACAGACACTTGTAAGAAGGATTCCTGAGAAATAAACTGTGGGTAAGAAATTTTGGTGGGGGAAAGCCTAGGTGGTTCAGTCAGTTAAACGTCTGCCTTCTGCTCTGGCCCAGGCTCCTGGGATCAAGTCCCACATCGGTCTCCTTGCTCAGCAGGAAGCTTGCTTCTCCCTCTGCCTGCCACTCCCCCTGCTTGTGCACTCTCTCTCTCTCTCTCTCTATCCCTGTCAAATAAATAAATAAATAAAAATTTTCCAAGAAAAGAAAAGAAATTTGTGGGCCTGGATGGCTCAGTCCTTAAGTGTCTGCCTTCAGGGTCAGGTCATAATCCCTGAGTCCTGGGGTTGAGCTCTGCATCCAGCTCCCTGCTCAGCAAGAGGCCTGCTTCTCCCTCTCCCAATCTCCCAAGGTCCCTGCTTGTGTTTCCCCTCTCGCTGTCTCTCTGTCAAATAAATAAATAAAATCTTTAAAAAAATGAGATCACCTATTTAAAAAAAAAGAAATTAGTTTTTCTAGTCTTTGAAATAATAACAAGGTACTGATCACTTAGTATGGATATAGGCATGATGGAGAGAATAAGCCCAACCATTTCAGTTTGGTTTGGGGGCTACAAAGGATATTGACCTGTTAACTTGGAATGAATTAAAACCACTGTCCTTGAAGTGGCAGATGCTATAACTCACCAATTACTCTTGTGTAGGATACATAAACCATACTCTTTGGTTTTAGCTCAACTTTCCTCCCCAACAATTAGGGACAGGTCAAACATCCTTTGGGTGCTTAATAACTATTTGATAATGAGATAATGATGGTGATGAAAATGATGATATGATAGATAATAATGGTAGCTTCCTAAGTGCCTTCTTAATAATGTGCTAACAGGTATCCATTGATATTTCTTCCTGAGTTGCTCTTACCTTTTATTTTTCGTGACCAAAGAAGACACTTATGTACCTAAATGGAAAGCACCTTCTTATTTTCCTTTTCCTTTCCTTCCTCCTTCAAATAGTTATTTGCTGACCAGTTTTATGATTCATTTTTGAAATATACTGTGAAAGGAAAATTAACTCTATTTTACTTACATTTAGTGCCCTCTTTGAAAGACTGACATAAATGGCTGTTTTCTAGTCTTAAAACTCTTTTTTAAAATTATTCTTTTTTCAATAATTAGCTATTATTATGTAAAGTAAGAGAGGCAAGTTCCACAGGTATAAGGAAGCCAGCAGTCGGCAGCCTCAGTCTGGGAGGTGAAGTTTTCTCCCCCAGTTTGTGATTCACCAGTAGGCCTGGAATTACCAGTGTGAGCTCAGCAGGGCTGCTGCACTCAGTGGAGGCTAAAATCTACAAAGTGACACTCACAGCAATTTAATTTGAGAGAGGACAGCACAGTGGAGGAAAGGCCATCTGAGATGCCCATTAATTCATCAGCCATAATTTATTGAGTCCCAGGTTGACCTCCCACCATGTTCTATACATGGTTGTTGGTGATGGGGACTCAGATGTGAATAATTTAAGATATATTCACTCTTTCCACAGTCTTTAAGCCTAAAGAGGGAGACAAAATAACAAACTAGGAAATATGGTAAAATGTAATTGTTTTTTGTATCAGTAAGCACAATGGGAGAAAAGTGAACTCATCTTAAGCAAGAGGAGGATCAGGGAGTGCTTCCCAGAGGAGATGATGTTCAGACTTAAATATTAAAGGGTAGTTCACCAGATGCAAGAAGTTGGGGAGAGTTCTAATAAGAGAAGAAGAAAAATAAGAGCATGAAGAGTTGGGAGAACTTCAACAAGTTTGTACCTCCAGGGTCATAGGAGTCACGTAGAAAAGTGGTCAGAAACCAGATACTGAAGGACCTTGTATTTCATGACAGGATCCTGGATTTCAGATTGGGCTAGTTGAAAATCATCAAAGAACTTTAAACAGGGGTTGGGAGGGGTGGTGCTCATCATTCAATTTGCATTTAGAAAGATAATTTTGGCATGGCTGTGAAAAATTGATTAAAATTGGTTAAAACTCATGTCAGGAAGCTATTTTAGAATGAGGTATGGGCAGAGAAAGGGTTTGAACTTAATATGATCTTGTGGTCAACTCAGAAAAATCAAACAGAATGACAGTGTATATTCTTCAAATGAGATTGAAGTTCAAGGTGGTTTTAAAGGAAAGGCAGCCTGCTGAAATGGAAACAGTATGACCTTTGACTATCTCAATCAACCATTTATTGGCTCTGTGAACTTATAAGAGTTACATTAACTCTTTGAGCTTTGGTTTCCTCATCTGTAAAATGGGGTTGATTATACCTCTCTCTCAAGAGTCTAAGGATTAGAATTAAATGTGAACTGTTTATGCAGTAAATGATAAACATCTTAATAAATATTAGTTTTGTGGCCATTGATCCAAAAACATCCACTGGCTGAGGGCATTCTGAACCATAAAACTATCTTTTCACAGAAGTCTTTGTATGCATCAAATAAGACATTTTATTTTCACTTTAAGAAAATCTTACCAGGGGCACCTGGGTGGCTCAGCGGGCTAAGACTTGCCTTCAGCTCAGGTCATGATCTCAGGGTCCTAGGATTGAGCCCTGCATCAGGCTCTCTGCTCAGCAGGGAGCCTGCTTCCCCATTTCTCTCTGCCTACCTCTCTGCCTACTTGTGATCTCTCTCTCTCTCTCTGTCAAATAAATAAATAAAATCTTAAAAAAAAAAAAAAGAAAGAAGGAAAATCTTACCACTGTGTATTACATGTTAGTTTTTCTTGAGCAAGAACATTTTTGAAAGCTAAAATTGCCTCACTGATTATTTGACTTTTCACCTATCTTCACATAAGTCCTCTGCCTGAGCTTTAGGGCTAGTGTAAAATGTTGCGATGGAGCCTACCGTAATGAGATTTCTAATTTTGCTTAAATAGGGCCATGCAACACTCCAGTATTCTGTGCGTTGATAATAATTTTTCTTCAACAAAATAGCACTAGCACTTCTAAATTTTAATAGCTAAAAAGTGATGAGTGAAAAAGTATATGCCTTTGCAATAAAGAGTTTAAAATTAATGTATTTTTATTGTATTGCAGTGGTTTACAAATCTGCTTTTTATCCGAGATCCCTCGGAGAAAGTGATGAATGCCAATGACTCTCTGTATTCACAAAATACACTTATACTTCTTAAATTTAACCTGTAAGTACAGTAGATACAGGCCTTTTCCTTGACTCCTCCCATCACTTCACATAAACTGGTCTAAGGACATTAAATTTAGAGCCATCACTGGAATTTATTTTAACCATAATTAAGCTTCCTCTAATTTTAGATAAAATTTTAAGACACAAGAATGAATATTTCAGAATATACAAGGTGGAATGAGGTAATTTAGTATTATTATTAAAATATCAAAAATTGTTTGTTTTTAATATGGAATGTGGACACAAGGCTGAGCCCTTTAGATGTATTAGCTCATTTGTTACTCACCCCAACCTTATGTGGTAGACCTTGTTAATATCTCCATTTTACAGTGGAGAAAAGTGGAAACGTGGATAAGTTATATGACTTGCTCAAGGTTTTGAAGGTTAATAAATGGCAAAGCAAGATTCCAGCACAGGTCTGCTTACTCAGAAGCCCAACATCCTAACCGTATGTATACAGCCACTCAGTAAAAATCACTTTGATGGATAGCATTGAGTTTGTGTACTCAGATAACAAGAGAAGCATTAGGAATGTGAAATGTTTCCAATGGCTGTGGTTAAGCTGGGATACCATAGCAAGAAAAAAGAAAAAAAACAAAACAAAACAGAAAAAAAAAAAAAACCCAAGAACTTACTTGTGACTGGTATCTGTGCCGGAGAGCTACTTCATCTCTTACCAGGATCATGTCGGATGGAGCTGATTTGCCGCATGGAAACCCAGCCAGGATCTCCTTCTGTTTGCTGACGCTGACATTGTCAAACACAGAGTAATGGTCCACAGGTGCGAATTCACTTGCCGCACATTCATAGTAGGTGCCTGTCAGCAGGGTTACGGCCAGCCACGTTAATGGCGCAACAAGTGCCCTCCCGGTGATGCTGAAGAACCGAAGACAGGCCAGCTTGCACTCCAGAGGGCTGATTCTCCGCTGGGGAGGGCCACAGTTGCAGCAGTATTCACTGGTCATGGTCCACATCTGGCTTCTCAGAGCATAGCCAGCAATCAGAAGGATCAAGGCTGGAATAACTAGAAAAGCAGAACCATAGTAGAAATTTTTCCCAACCTGACAGGGACAACTGAAGGTGAAAGAGGAGAAAAGCTGTTGCGCGCCAATGGTCGAAGCAGCAATTAAAGAATTCATAAATGTTCCACTTCTCTGGAGGGAAGATACGATATTGTTGAGAGTCGGGCTCATCGTTGGGAAGCTCTGACACAAATGGCCCTTTCTGATCATTACACTCCACCAGCTATAACCATTTTATGGGATCTTACTGGTTTAACTGGCTGTGTCAAGTGACCCAACATCCTCATATGTTTAAAGGATTCCAGCATCTTTCCTTGAGTAGTTTGTGAATCCTGAGCTAATTAATGCACTTCAGATTCCACCCGGGAAAAACTAGAGGAGAGATTCAACTGGAACAAGTGACAGGAAAAACTGCTGCGGCGTATCTTTCCACTAAGAAGGGAATGGCTTGCTTGCAAAACAAACTGTTGCCGTCTTTCCATGTGGTGCTCTGTGGGACACGACCTGCGCGGTACCCGCAAATAGAGCACTGGAAGCAAAACAGAGAACATTCTTACCCTGTACTAGACCAGGATTTAGTTACCATAAAATTATGACACAAGGCATAACAGAAAAAAATCAAATAATAGAGTAATCCAAGCTTTAGGGCTGTCTGGAACATCCATAACCTAAGAGTTCTGCCGGAAGATCCCAAAAGCTTTCCCCAAAAGAAGAACAAGACCTAGGTACCCCTAAAGCCAAATCACAACACAAATATTCGAATTTTGCATAAAAGTGCAATTTGTATTGACAGAATGTAATATAATAATGTGTTGCCTTGTAAGTTAAGTTGAAAATTTGTTTATATGCTATCTTTTTGTTACATGAAAATGTGATACTTAGGCATTGGTAAAATTATGTATCTATGAAAAGAAATAAGATAATCAAATGCATGAGGTGTTTTCTATATTTATTTAATCAGAAAATATTTATTATATGACTTCTATATAGAAGGCACTGGACAAGGCTTGTTTGGGTTAATAAAAAGTGAGTAAGATTTAAATTTCTCTTCTCAAACTCTCAACTGGGTGTGGTTAAATACATAATTACTGAATTGAAACATAATGCTGAGGAATTCACCCAAAGTATACGATCAAGTATTACAGTATAAAATAACATATTTTAAAAACCAATTCAAGGAAACAGAAGACAGATTAAACAACTCCATAATAGGAGTCCCAGAAGGAAAAAAAAAATGAAGGGATAGGCAGAGAAACAATATTTGAAGAGAAATAACTGAGAAGTTGGCAGAATTGATGAAAGTTCTCACATCAGAAGAGTGTTAGATGTTCTGAACAGTGTAAATAAAGACAAATTGACGTATAAACATGCCACAGTAAAACTGCAGAGTGTGAAGCATGAAGAGATGTTATAAAAAAGTACCAGAAAGAAGAGACAGATAAACTACAAAAGAATGACCTTAGCCGGAGGAAAGATTTCTCATTAGCAACACTAGAGACAAAAGGCAACCTCTTCAGAATGCTTAGTATCAGATACAATATCACTCAAGACAGAATGAAATAAAGTTACATACGTTAATTTTAAAAAGAGATACATAAAGGCTAAGGGAATTTACTACTCACAAGGTCTCATAGAAAGCATTATTAAAGGACATAGCTCAAAAAGGAGAAAAATGAACTCTAAGGAAAAACATAGGACAAAAATAATGATGAGTATAAATATATTTTTAAGTTATTTTCTTTAATTATTATCTGTAGAAAGAATTACTTTTTTACTTTAAGAGATGGAACTAAGGCAATACAGGGATATAATAAGATATCACTGGGCAAATGGCTAAAATTAAGAAAACTGACAATACCAGATGTTGGTGAAGATTGCGAAGTAACTAGAACACACACACACTCACTCTCTCTCTCTCTCTCTTCTTTAAGATTTATTTATTTTAGTGTACCTGGGTGGCTCAGTTGGTTAAGTGTCTGCCCTCAGCTTAGGTCATGATCTCAGAGTCGTGGGATCAAGTCCCACATCAGGCTCCTTGCTCAGCGGTGAGTCTTCCTCTCTCTATCCCTCCACCGCTCTGCCTGCTTGTGCTCTCTCTGTTGCTCTCTCCCTCCCAGATAAATAAATAAAATCTTTTTTTAAAAGATATATTTATTTTAGAGAGAGAGAGAGCATGGCAAGGAGAGGCAGAGGGAGGAGAAAGAAAATCTCGAGCAGACTCCACTCTGAGCATGGAGTCCAAGTTGGGGCTTGATCTTGACACCCTGGGATCATGACCTGAGCCGAAATCACGAGTCAGATATTTAACCAACTGAGCTACCCAGGTAGTGGGAATATAAAATGGAATAACCACTGTGGAAAACTGTCAGTTTTTTCTAAAACAGTAACTATGTACCCAGTATATAATACATTTACCTCCTAGATACTTGCTCAAGAGAAATGAAAGCATAAGTCCACATGAAAACTCATACTTGAATGTCCACAGTAGTTTTATTTATAGTACCTGCAAATCGAAACAACACAAATGTCCATCAACAGGTGAGTAGATCAAAAAATGTTATATATCCATATGATGAATACTACTCGGCAAGATAAAAGGAATAAACTATTGATATATGCAATAAGAAGAATGAATTCAAAAGGACATTCTGAATTAAAGACTTTAAGCAAAAGAGTACATAATGTATGACTCCATATAAAATTCTAGAAAATTCAAATGAATTGATACTGACAGAAAATAAGCCAGTACTTGCCTAAGGAGTGAAGGAGGAGGAATAAGAAGAGAGTGGTTACCAAGGGGCGTGAGAAGACTTTAAAGAGTTGTATCAATTTATAATGACAGGGTTTTAATTTATGGAGGTGACCGAGTGATGACGCGGAGATGCCAAAGCCATTGGCAGAAGATTTCTTACTTTCATTTATCAAGAGAAGAGGGCATGCCAGGCCATGCGGGGAAGAACCAGGTTTGGTCAGGGTGCAGAAAGGAAGACAGGAGACCCTATGCCAGAGCTTTTATTGGGATTTCCATAGTAAAGACAAGGTAAGGCATAGGAAACAGCTTAGGATTGGCTAGTTTCAATAATTCTGGTGGGCTTTGGGGCGTAAGGGCTGTCACTGCTTGTCCAGTACCTGGTCCCGGGTTGGTCTAGAGCAGGGGAAACACTGGCTTGGTGTATGAAAGGTAGATAAGAAGGTGGTTCCAGGTAGGGCTCTGGATTGGGGGGTAGATACAAACAGCTTTGGCTGTTAGTGCGTCCCTGTAATTAATGGATGCCAACTTGACAAAGAATAAGATAACAGAGTTCAAACAGGGGTAGTGGGAATAATTATGTTGATTGATTCGATGGCTTCAGGGGTGTATACATATGCCAAAATGCATCACATTGTAAATCAATTCATGTCTCGTTAAAGCAGTAAAATTTTAAGTATAAATCAAATAATTGATCTTGATGTATAGATCATTCAAAAGCAGGAAAGAAAAAGGGAATACTAACTGGAAAAGAGATTGTAAACAAAGGGGAAATGATGGTAAAAGAAAACACAAAATAATGGTAAAAATGAGACCAAACACATCAGTAATCACACACACACAAAATTTTAAATACCTAACAATTGCCGCAAGTCATGACGTGCCAGGCACTATTCTAAGAACTATGATGAGACACTAATATTATCCTCAACTTCTTTACACATGAGAAAACTGAGGCGCGGAGAGATAGAGGAAATTGCACAGGGTCATACAGAGATGCTGGAAAAATCAGGATTAGGGGCCCAATTGTCTGGCACACACATTTCACCACCACACCAAAGCTGGAGTAAACTTACCTCCAGAGTGATTAAAAAACAGAGTAATAGACTATGGACTCTGAAAAACAATCTGAGGGTTTTGAAGGGGCGGGGGGGTGGGAGGTTGGGGGGATCCAGGTGGTGGGTATTGGAGAGGGCACGGATTGCATGGAGCACTGGATGTGGTGCAAAAACAATGAATACTGTTATGCTGAAAACAAATTTAAAAAATTAAGAAAAAAGAGTCATACTGCCTACAAAGGACACACCTAAAACTAGACCACACATAAAGCTTGAAAAATAAAGGTATTAGAATATATTTAACTGAGAATAATAAAATTAAAATAAGGCAAAACTTAAGACAAAAAGTGTCAAAAGGGCTAATTTGGAACACTCCATTATAATAAAAGGAACAATCCATTAGGAAGCTATAACCACTGTCAACTCATATGTCTGTGACTGCATCACTCTGAAATATATAAAGCAAAAACTGGTCAAGTTACAAAGAGACTTCTTATAATCAGAGATTTTAACCATATCTTTATCAGAAATGATTAAGTAAACATTAGGATATAAAGGATATGAACAACAAGCAAGCTTTATCTAAAGTATATGTAGTAGTCCATCATAGTATTTCCATTCCATTTCATTAGTAATGTCCAATAACAAAGAAACTGATTAATAAGCCACAGAAATAGAATGCTATAGATGAGGGGTGTACCATATAGGGCTCATAGACTAAACTGGCCCACTGCCTGTTTTCTGTGGCTTGTGAGCTAAAAATGGTTTTTACGTCTAAACACGGTTGGAAAAAAATTTTTTTCAGTATTTTATAACACGTGAAATTACATGAAACTCAAATCTCTATGTTTACAAATAAAGTTTTATTGGCACCTAGGCACACCTGTTCCTAAATTGTCTGTGGCTGCTTTCCCACCACAATAGAAGAGTTGAGTGGTTGTGACAGACATGTCCATAAAATTTAAAATATCTACTCTCTGGCCCTTTACAGAAGAAGTCGGCTGACCTCCGCTATAGAGGCTGTGAAAATAAACTAGCTAGAGTGACAGCTATTTATATGGATAAATTGTAATAAAGAACTAAGAAGGAAAAATGCAAGCTGGAGGATAGGTACAGTATGACCAATTATGTAAAGTTTTTGGAACAAAACGACATTACATTTTCTTTGTGGTTACTAACATATGTAGAATTTAAAAACAAGAATAGGGGGGCGCCTGGGTGGCTCAGTGGGTTAAGCCTCTGCCTTCGACTCAGGTCATGATCTCAGGGTCCTGAGATTGAGCCCCGCATTGGGCTCTCTGCTCAGCAGGGAGCCAGCTTCCCCCCACCCCCGCCGCCTGCCTATCTCCCTACTTGTGATCTCTCTTTCTCTCTCTCTCTGTCAAATAAATAAATAAAATCTT